GCCCCGAAAGTAAGAGTAGAGGATTTAGAAATAGAATTATTGAGAACAACAGAAGAAAAACAATTACAGAGATAAGAAGAAAACCAAGATAGACAAGAATCAGTAATATTAAAAGAAAGATGCAGCAGTCTCAAGAGAATAGTATGGTCAACAGTATCAAAAGCTGAGGAAAAGTCAAGAGCAAGAAGAAGAGTAAGATTACTATTGTCACTAGAGAGAAGGATATCATTGTGTATTTTAAGTAAAGAAGTTTCAGTACTGTGAGCAGGTCTGAAACCAGATTGAGATACAGGTAGCAAAGAGTTAAAGTCTAAATAGGATGACAGTTGATTAAAAACAACTTTTTCTATTATTTTAGAGATGAAAGTAATATTAGTTACAGGTCTATAATTAGATAAAAAAGTAGGATCTAGGGATGAGTTTTTAAGAATAGGAATAACAATAGAATTCTTATAAGAAGTAGAAAATTTAGAGGTGGAAAGAGATAAATTAACTAATTTAAGAATGATTGGATAAAATATTGAAGAAAATTCTTTAAGTAAATTAGAAGGAAGTAGATCTAGAGAACAGGTTGTAGACGACATAGAATTAATAATTTTAGTTAGTTCTAAAAGATTTATTGGAGAAAGATTCAGTAGTAAGTTTAGTAAAGTTAAGTTTAGAAAGATTCAGTAGTAAGTTTAGTAAAGTTATGAGAAGAAAAATTAGAATTAGATGTTCTTAAAGAAGTAATTTTATTTACAAAAAAGTCATGAAACTGTTGAGCAGAAAAAGATGAGTGAGAAGATTTTTTATGTAGAAGTTTAGATAGAACAGACCACCTATTTTTAGATGTTGAAGCAGATGTTATAGAATTTCTAAGAAAAGTAGAGTGTTTAGAGAATAGTAGATATTTATAATTAATCAATTCAGATTCATAGATAGAATAAAGAGAGTTAGATGGATTTAACCTATAGGCTTTCTCCAGTCTTCTAAGACTTTTCTTGGCTACTACACAAGCATAATCAAACCAAGGAGCCTTACGAGAATAGAGCCTATAAGTAAAAGATTTAAGAGGAAAAAGCTTATCAAGAATAGAAGTAATGTAGATATTAAAAGCACAGTTAAATATTTAAGGGCAATTCCGTAAATACATTTAAAAACCGTTAGACATATCTTGAAAATGACTCTTTGATAAACCGGAAGCCAGTAAAGAGCAAAAAGAATTGGCTTAACGTGGTTGTATTTAAGGCCACCTGAAACCAACCTTGCAGCCCAATTTTGAACCGACTGCAGTCTAGACATATTTACAACCGACCAGCCGTAATAAAGACTATTGCAATAATCTATTTTTGAATGGATAAAGGAATGAACATGACATTGAAGAGTATGCATGCTTAAAGATCGTTCGATGCGCCTAAGCCAACGCAATTGTTAAGAGCAATTTTTCAAAACTGCCCTATTATGAACGTTAAAAGACATGTAATTATCAAAAACAAATTCCAGGTTGCGTGCAGATGTGCAAAATTCAATGTCAGAATCACCAAGTCTGATAGACTCAGTGTTCATTTTTCCCAATAGCTGTCTAGTGCCAACCGGTAAAACCTGAGTTTTTTATTGATTCAATTTAAGCCCACTCATTAATTTTTGAGAGGCATGATCTGAGTCCACAGACCAGATCATCAAAATGACAAAGGGGACACTAGCAATGATCTGAAAAACTTAAAATGAAATTAAATGAATTTGAAATTATATATGTCAATGATTTTGAAAACATCTGCAGTGTAAAACACAAACAGAAGGGGGCCGAGAACCGACTCCAGTAGAACACCGTATGACTTAGTTTCAACGTGTGTCAAGTTAGATTTGAACTAAATCTGTTGTGTGCGACAAGAAAAATTGTACTCAATCCATTGAAGAACAACACCAGATACTCCAAATGAATATTGGAGCTTTCGTAAAAGTAATGAGTGATCGACACATTCTGAGCATTTGTGGAGGAATACAACCTAGAACAAGCATACAATAAAGCCGTCTCAATCGAATGGAACTGACGATAACCAGATTGGCAGACCGGGAAAAGATTATTGGTGTTTAAGTGAGTGACAAGTTGCTGAAAGACTATGCGTTCAACAACTTTAGACCAAATTACAAGGTTCGACACAGGCTGATAACTTGAAAGTTCATTTTTGTTCAATGTACTTTTTCAGAATAGGACTTACCACAGCGTTTTTGAAAGCCAGAAAAAAGGCACAGGTTTATAAAAAAAAAGGTGAAAAATGGCAAAAACAGATCAATGTACATCTCAATAGTCTGTGTAGGTGAACAGTCAAGGAAGCATAATTTAGTAGATGCGTCAAGTACAATTTTTCATGTATTATCACCAGAACAAGTTGAAAAGCTAGAAAATGTAAATTGTAAGGAGTAAGAAACGATCCAAAAAACCGCATATATATATATATATATATATATATATATATATATATATATATATATATATATATATATATGTATGTATGTTGGTAATAGACCATAATTTTTACAATATTATATAAATTCTACCGAATGTTTGGCGTTAATATGTTTGTAGTTCGTTTTTTCGATTTTTCTCACTAAAGTTTTTTGGTGAACGTTTAGTTATTAAAATTCAAAATAAACTTTTTTTCGAATTCATGCTGCAAATAAGGCCATATTTCGATTCCGAATGAATCATCATCTGACACCTAATTCGCATCAAAATTCAATTTTACAACATCAAAGTTAAGGTTTACAACGTCAAAGTTCATCTTGACAAAGTCAA